GGGGGGGGGGGCGTTTTGGATGGCTTTCCGGAAGACTAAGAGGGCCTGGCAGATCTCCAGGGGGAAAGTGCTCCAGAGGGCAGGGGCTGCTATGGAAAGGGCACCATTTGGAAAGGGTCCAATCCAGTGCATAGATCTTAGCCTTTATCTACATCCTTCCTATCCGGGGGTGTCCAATCGTGGCCACGGGGAGAACTCTGGGCTTCTATTCCCGGAGTTGAAGTCCATAAGCCTTAAAGTTGCCGAGGTTGGAGTCCCCTGTTCTAGACTGGAGCTATGAGGCAACTGCAGCCCTTTGGGGTTCTGAATTGAACCATGGATTTGCACGTAGAGTGACCGAGCAGGGAAGGAGCCTCCATATTTGTGGGTCGTCGTCCCCCAGAAGCCCTTGGGCCATTTCTGCCCTCCCCCCATGGCTCACCCCATTGATTACAAAGACGCAGATGGCGTAGACCATCCCGATGGCCGCCAGCATCACCAGGCACAGGAGAAACTGCATGGCGTCCCTGTAGAGGCGGAAGTTCATCGGCTTGGGGTACAGGATGGATCTCACCAGGTCTCCCTTGGCCGTGTTGAAACCTGAGGTGGTGAGGAGAGGAGCAGGGATCCTTAGGGGCCTCCTAAGGCTGGGAGGGGAGGGGAGGCAGGTTGGGCTCACAGGCTGATTGCTGGCTACCTGCAGAGGCCAGAGTGGAGGCCAGGTGGAGGAAGAGGAGGGCAGCGCACCAGAGACCAGAGGAAGGGCAGAGACTTCCCACCCTACCTGGATCAGGATGAGCATGACTGGGGAGGCGTTTTCTGGAGGTGGCGGACACGACTCATAGCTACCCCATGAGGGTGACTCCTCCTGAGCCAGCTGAGGGTGACTCTGGGCATCTGGGAAACCCAGTTCAGAAGACTCCCGGAAGAGGTCTGAACATCCAGAGGGAGACACTGAGTGGCCCTCCCTCTCCCCCTGCAGCCCCATCCTGACCAAAAGGATATGCCAGAATCAGGCAGTTTAATGAAGGGGCCGAAGAGGGGGGCCCTTCCAGAAGAGTCCTGGTTTTGGGGAGAGGGGAGAGGCTGCCCTCCACCTTCCACTCTCCAGCTGACACCGTTCACACAATACGAGATGCCTGTTCACCCACCGGTCCGCAGCACGACGGCCCTTGCTGGTCCTCCATCCCCTCCCTTGGCCTGGATGATGTCTGTCCCACAGAAGAGAAGGTGCCTCTTGCTGTCCTCGGAGGAGCTGAGATGCCACGGTTGGTTGCTCTTGCAGTCCTGGGGCAGGCTGGTCTTGGTGATGGGAAGACTTTCCCCTGGCGGAGGCATGAAAGGGAGTGTCACAACCCCTGGTATGCCCAAATGTGACAAGCCGATAGACAAAGATAGGAAGCAGTGAGCTTCCTCCCATATTTGGGCATACCAGGGGTTGTGACACTAAATACATACCTATTTCCCTGGCTCAGCTGA